TTGTTCGTGTGATTGCAAATCGGGGCTGGCAATTAACAAGTCGTCTGTATACCCCTGCGCAAATGGCATATCTCGAAGTAGGTTATCTATGAATCTTTGAAATGTCTGTGCAGCATTTCTCAGGCCGAATGGCATGCGTACAAACTCTAATAAGCCAAAAGGTGTAGTAATAGTTGTCTTGGGGATATCTTCATCAGCTACCGGGATATTGTGATATGCCCTGACTAAGTCAATTTTGGTGAATATGTTCATACCCTGTAAACCGTTTTTGAAATCTTGAATATGAGGTATTGGGTACCTATCTGGTACGGTTTGACGGTTTAGGGCTCTGTGATCCCCGCACGGTCGCCAGTCGCCTTCATTCTTCTTGTGGACCATATGCAAAGAGGATGCCCATTAACTGTAAGAGGGACGGCAAATACCCAGTTTTAGCTTATAATCAGACTCGGCTCTGGCGACTTTGAGCTTATCTGGTGCTAGTCTCCTGGGTTTTGCAAACACCGGTGTACCTTCGGTTTTGATAGTATGACTTACTTTTAGTTTGTCTTTGGAAGGCTGGGGCTTCGGTCTAGTTAAGTTTGGAAATTCCGCCAGTATATCTTGGAATATCGCTGTTGTTACTGGAGGAGTTTGAATCAAGTTAAGAGATCTGATGTGACTTTCTTTGCCTTTTATGTAATTCGACGTTTCTTTCAGTGTTAATCGCCGCTTTTTAACGTCAACTAGAAATTCGTATCTCTCTAGAAAGTCCATCACTAGTATTGCCAGATCTAAGTCGGCTACCGTGAAAACCCAAGGAAACTGCCTCCTGAACCTCAAATCTAGGGTTAAAGTTTTCTGCCCAAATGTTGAGATTTTAGTTTTATTTGCAGCTTGAAGTGTAATTGATGATGTTTCTCGACTCAGCTCAGTTTTATTTTGAGGGATGATGCTAAGAGCAGCGCCAGTATCCACCGAGAAATTCAAGCCAGAGTTTCTGTCTCTAACATAAAACAAGTGACTGTTTAGGCGCCCCTCCTCAGTCGTCGCGACCTGGGGGGTACTCGTTTCCCGCTGTCTTGGAACTATGCTTAGGCCAGGCGCATGGTTGCATGCACTTGGTTGAGTTGAAAACAAACTTCCAGTGGTACCAACAAAACTGTGTATATTGTCTGGACATTTGTGACTTGGATCGTGGTCGTTGTGGTGACCTGCTCCTGTTTCTATGACCCATGTGCATCCTGGCGACAGCCTCAGTGAGACTCTTAACGCTCGCAATGAGTCCTTCTACAACGGGATCTTTTGCTGATTCTACTTTTTGTGTGTGATTTATCGTTCCTGATCCGGTTGGAGGACCTCTTTCCATTATTCTGTCGGCTATACGCGCTGAATGAGATGATGAGGTTTCAGGATCTTGTGCATCCAAACAGTGTTGGACATAGCATGGGAGAGCTTGTATCCATCCTTGTTTTAGAACTGCTTCACCCACTGTGTTATCACCCATTCAGACTTGGAGGTGACGTAAAAACTGTGACGGCGACCCGTCATCTAATGTTTCTCCTTGGAGAAGTTTTTGGATTCTTTGACTGTCTGATAATGATAAACGGTTCATTATCTCTCATCTTAAGTTGGTGTATGGTTGTGGTGATGCTGGACTTAAAACCAAGTCACGGACTTCTTTGGCGACTGAAGGAGGAAGGATAGAACACAAGTCTCTATAGCAAATCCCTTAAGATTTGATATTATGTCCTGTGAAATGATGCTCTAGTTGAGCAAACCACAACTCAGGATCACTATGGTCAAATTCTAGAAGTCGGGATTTCGTAGTCATAACAGTGTCTATCTCCACCGGTGACAAATCCCCAAGATTATGGGTTTCTATTGAGTCTGACATGAGATATGTGACGGATATAGCAATAAGATTAGCACGAAAAATGGTTACTATAACACGAATAACGTAAGATAATAAAAAATAAACTATTTATATACCCAACTTAGTTTACGGATAATCAGGTCTTCTTTTACGATTAAGTAAAAAAAATAATGTTAATAGCAAAAATGAGGTCAAGTTTGTGTTCAAAAGGGCTCGCCAGTTTCGTGCCTTAAGGTAACCCTCGTGCTATTGATAGAAGAAACCAGACAAGTAGTGAATAGGTCTTTATTTCGATCTTCGCGCAGTCACAGTGGAGTGTGGGATTATTTGTTCAGACAAACATAGCCTCTCAACATTCATTATAAGATAGTAGAAAATATAACGCCTATGCAAAATAAGGAAGTGAATGAATACTTGAACTTTACTGTTTTGGCATATGCTTGGTTGTTTGAGGTCAAACCTCAACTAACCAACCTAAGCTGTTACAGATCCACTCACCTAAAGTGGCTAGCGATTTCAGGGGATGTTGAGCACGGCGTGTCCACTCGTCATACGGTGTGGATGCATGACCGAGCGTCTTCAGCTAGGTGAGTCCATCAAAACTAATATGGTCGGTATCCAATTTCGAAGGCTTACAAAGATATTTCTTCTGGGGATTTATTCACCGCTACGGCCTATTTGGCTACTTGGTCTGTATAGCTTCAATAGGGAGACACCATAGATACCTTGAGGTATTGTCTGGTTAAATGGATCTTTAATCAACCCAATTTCATGCTCAAAGCGGGTTTTGGGTCCTGTGGTTTCACACCTCATGACTCTATGAAGGACGAATTACATGTCATTATGATCAACTTTCGGTTTCACAACTACTCATTTGGAGAATGGATTTTCCTTTACGACATTATGTTGTTTTTTATTCTTAGTTTATATACACTAGTCAGACTAGCCAGATGTTCAATCCAGAAAACGTATACAACTTGTGTATGGAAGATGTAACCTAAACACACTTAAATGAAAACCTAGCTGACAATCCCAAGCAACCAATAAAGGGGAAAATGAGTTGGAAAATAAAGGGTAAACGGGAAAAAATGTCTGCTTTTTCGCCTGTCCGGGGAAATGATGCGGATTTCCCCCTTTTGCCTCTCTGTAGGCGAAATTGTTTACTTTTCGCCTAAATATCCACTAGATTGTCTACTTTTCGCCTAAATATCCACTGAATTGTCTACTTTTGCTACAACTTTTAAAACACCATTAGCATAACCATAGCCTTCATCTCCACAACAAACCACATTAAAACTACAATCCATGAAAAAAGGTTTATGTTTAAATAAATTTATCGAAAACGAAAAGCAGAAGCTTGGGCATCAGTCGTTATGCATTTTCATAGTAATTGCCAATTCATAGTTATTTGAAAAGATCTGCAAAAGAAGAAACAGGTAAGCTGATTTCCAAAATAATGTTTGTTGAAAAGTAAGTAGAACATAAAAAACATTTCGCGGATAACTTCCTTTAGCCACGCATGATCAGCTATTGAGAATCAAAATAGTCTTCCTGTGAATTCTGAAGTGTAAAGAACGAGAGAAGCTACAACGATATTTGAATGACATGCTTTGGCTTAGCCAGATACTTGAAGCTTCACTTGCGGTTATGCTAGTTAACACTGTTGACTGTAACTATATAGCAGTAGGGAAGTTATCACTTTAAATTTGGACGTACCTGTTCTTGTTTCCTCCTATTACGCTTTATCAATTTGTCTCGGACGTCGTGAAAAAAACCTTGTGTCGCTATATCGTACAGCTTAGCAAGGTCTTGTTCGTTTACAGAGGATGACAGGAAGCGATTTGTTAAGGCACCTGAAGTTTAAATAATAGATATACGTTGCTTCGTATGCAGCCATAAAACCGGCATTTCTGAATTGCTCGTTTTAAAGAAGTGCCAAGTAACGTGAAATTACTGGCAACCTCAGGTGTCATGAGGTACGACAAAACATATCGCATCGAGGTTTTCAGATCATTATCTGTTAACCTCGTTACCGTGGCCATCTGTAATACGAATAATCTATAAAAGTTAATGTTGTTGACTTACAAATCTATCCCTGGTTTCTTTCTGCTGCAAACCAGTGTCCAGCGTCTGCAGTTCCACTTCAGATGACAAAGGGAACTGCTGACTTGATAGTCCGCAATCGAATTGATGCGAATGTTCGCGTTCACTGAACTTCGCTAGTAGCAGCTCTACATTTGTACTCAAGTCAGTAATAGCTGAAAACATGTTCTGCATTATTGTATACAACCTATCAAATCTGAAAAACTTCACTTGATCGTACAGGAGACTTACTGGGCCGCTGAAGCACAGCCTACATGCTTAGATCCTAATGTTGAAAGTGATGCATCTAATTGTGTCTTCAGGACACTTCTGATGCTCCTCGGTAAGTCCGGTACAAGAACTCGGAAACCATTCAGAATCCGATCAGTATCTCTGGCGCCCAGAGAGGTTGTTGTAAGTAAATTCATCAGTAGATCGTTGATATGCTCCTTACGATTTACTAAATTCCGAGAGCACAAATTAACGCCATTACATCCTATAAGAAATATATTAACGTATTTATTTCATATACATACCATTATTATCTAGGAGCCTTTGATTGCTGTAGCTAGTGGATGACGTGACAGTTGAAGGACTCTCATTACAGTTAGTTCCTCTTTCGACTGCTATCAACTTAATATAAACCGCTGTTAAAGTCAGTTACCTTTGATTGTGCTTTAATTACCAAACTGACTAAACGAAAGCAAGTTATGTTTTTTCATGAGTGCTATACGTAATTTATTCCACCGTCTATTATAAGTCGATCTATGACAGCCAGGGACGCTTGATAAGTTAATAGTGGCCCTACGTCTACGAGCTCTCTGTGATTTCAATTGAACAGGGTAATAAGTTATAATGAACATTAAAAACGGAGAGGACGCCACTCACATGCATCACGTTAGCTATTTGTGATGCCTACCAAGTATAACAGAACGATTTAGCTTAACGAAAGACGAAGTCAGTGTATGTGTGTCTCAGCCAAATCCCTGTGTCCGCATTTTGTTACTAGTGTTTATGACAATAGTTTTTTTTAATTAAGCAGTGCCTTATTGTATCGACGTTTATGAAAACATCAGTACGGGATGCGGCATATTCAAACATGGTACGTAACGTATGGTTGTTGACGAATATCCCCCGAATACACGATGTGAGCGGGAAAAATCGACATTTCCCCAAAATAACCGACGTAAAGGCGAAAAAGCAACATTTCCCCTTTATTTACGTTTTCGTCCGCTTCATTTCCCCTTATTTCGCCTTTATTTCCCCTATATTGGTTGCTTGGGGATTCTGAGAAAATATTGGGGAATCCCCCAAAACGGGTAAAATGTTCCCAAAAGTTGGGAAATTGGTAATACTCTCTTACCGATAATTTCATATCTGCAGAAAATATTGCGAGCCAGACACTTTTCGTAAATGTCGTTCACATTTGTTAGGAAGGCCATTTCGCTGGCTAGTCTATTGCTACGGTAATGTCATAGACTTATATATATATATATATATATATATATATATATATATATATATATATATATATATATATATATATATATATATATATATATATATATATAAGCAGAAGTCAGGCTATCACCATTTTCCAGAGTTTTTGCGCATACATTTTCATTGCTTGTGAATTCTCGTTTGCATCCTCTGTTACTAATAACAACTTACGATGGAAGCTTCCATCTTATATTTAAGCGTAAGTTGTAGAATCCATGATTTTCTGGTATTTTGAATGTAAATACATGTTAATCGTCTTACCATATACCGATGTTGGTTCATGTACTCGTCATTGCCGACCTCATTATAAATGCTATAATAAGTCCTAAAATTGATATTATATTTATCCATCAATCATGTGGTCTAGATCATATCAATTGTAATCCTAAGTAGTTTCATTTCAGAAGCTAGTCCCAAACTTTACGATCTTGTGAGGCCTCCACGATCTACACTGTCCTGGAAGAAAACACGTTATTTCTCTGTGTTTTCATTAGAATTCTTTGAGTTCTTGTAGGTTTTCCACTATCAATTTCTTTAATTACTTAGAAAGGCGAGGGATGGTTTTAGTGGTTACTGACTGCGTACTCATAAAGAGCATTTGATGAAACCATAATTTATGAACGCACTTTAAGCGACGCCAAAGTGACTTTGAGAGTATCTACCTACTTACTAAGGCTAAGTGAGGGTTGTAAAGCAGTTTGAAGAATAAGAATTATGATTCACAGTTGATGGTTAGGGTTAGGAATTAGACTTACGGTTTTTCATCACGAGCTGACATCAGCTAAAATTCCCAGACGCTATTTGGTCAAATGGGTGAGTAAATTTCACTCCAAAATCCAATATCTGTTATCTTAAATCTTATTGGTTCGTCCATGAATTATAATCTTGCCAAGTATTTTTGCAGCTACTATGTTCTGAATTAAAGGTGCAGAACTAATTTGAACTCACCCATTTAGTGTAAACTAAGGACTAAAACTGTGGTCGATGAAATGCCAACAATAATATGAAAACCGTAATGGATATTTGCCATCTTGCCGTACCTACCGTCATTCAACTAAATATGTGCTAATCGGATGTGTGTTTTGGCACTTACTTTTGTTCTACCGTTAGTCTGGGAATAACGACAAGCATGGAAGTATTTTAATATGGTAAAGTGAATGAATGTTTGCATGTCATTAGATGTAAGAATCCTAAAAGAAAGATTTTAAAACGCAGAGGCATGTTAGAGAATTAATATCGTTGTCAAAGTTACTCAATAACAATTAACTTTTTACCACTTTATAATATCTCCATGCTTGTTGTCGTTATTGTACTAGCCTTCACTAATACAGAATAATGTACGTTAGTTACTAATAATTTTTACTGTCCTCCGTAGGTTGCAAGCTGCTGACGAGAATCCACGAAGTAAATGAACTCACCTTTGCTACTCTTGTTGTTCTTGCTTGGTTCAAATTTACCAATGCGAAGAATTGTATGAAGAAATTAACAAGTTGAAAGTAGGGAAAATGTAATAGTAATGTTTTTTTTGTTACTTTCTTTCTCTTCTTGTAATTATAGAAAAATTAAAAACGAAAACGTATCTTTTATTGACATTCTTTTGGACGAAAACGTAAGGCGTATCTTTCCCTACTGTTACTTGAAGTATGTAATGTTGGGTTCGATTAAGGACAAATATGAAACGATTTACTGTCTGATTTTATGGAATTTTCAGGTAGGAGTAAAATAAAGAAACCCCAGTACAAGAGTAACAATAACTTAGAACGTAGGAGGGATGGGTATATGTTCAAGTTACCGCACTTTCTGGTTTCTTTTGTGATTACTCTTGATTTCTTTTAATTGCACCATTTTGAAATGTAGCAACTTATTATATTTATGTCATTGTTTTATGAAGTACAGGTTTGGGTACTTAATTATCAGAGACTGTACGCTTATTGTACTACCTGGGTTACCCAAAATGTGGTAGTTGAAGTGGTGTTCAAACCTGGAGCTCATCAGTTCTAAGTACTTTAACCATTAAACCACCACTCTACATTAGCATTTTGAATCAGTTCATGGTTTTGATTAATTTTGTTTTGTTTAATTCAACCGATATTAGGTCTTTCACTGTGAAATAGTATGCATTTTTATCTTCTGAATATTCTTGCACCTAGTCATGACTCTTTTCCTACTTTCCTTGGGATATTTTAATGTTGAGTAGTAATACTCTTTAATGTTTCAGATAATGGCGTTGTCAACATATCAGTCAGTCAGTAACAACGTAGAACTTCGTACGTACGTACATTACTTCGAGTTGCCATACCACATTAGTACAGAGATGCAGTTGTCGATCCAAATCCCGTAGTGGTAGAGGTGGTAAGAGTATAAGCAGTAATCGGAAAGACTAGGATTTGAAGATGTTATTCAAGGAGTATAGTAGTGAAATAAATTTGGAAAGAAGGAAGGGACATGATAAATTCAGAAGATTGGAATTTGGGAGAACAAAAAGAGTGGGTGCACCTGGGCCATTGCAAACGATTTTGAGCCATGTCATTCAGGGTCTCTAACCATCGGCTGCTATCATCTCGCGGTCCCCAACCAGGTAGTCTACACCTACTAACATGGCTCAGTCTACTTGTCAGTGACTTCATGGATTTGTGCCATGTTTTGGTCTGATCGCTCCTAGCTTTCTCCCAACCTACTCCTACACCATAAAACATCGCGCGTCGGGGCAGTCGGTGGTCGGGCATACGTAACACGTGTCCCAGCCATCTCAACTGATGAAGTTTCACTACTTCATCAATTGATTTGCCATCCTTACCTAGTACCCGTTTCCTAACAACTGTGTTACTTACTCGATGGTCCCAGGATATACGAGCAATGTTTCGAAGACACCTATGATCAAATACTAGTAACCTACAAATATCCTCTACTCTTACCGGCCATGTTTCACTGCCATAAAGTAGGACGGGACGAACTGCTGCGCAGTAAACAAGTCCTTTGGTTGATAGTCAGGTATCTCGCCTACACCATGAATGACGCAAATTGGCAAAAGCTAGTCGAGCCTTCTGTATCCGTGCTGAGATTTCGTCACACATCAGACCACAAGGGCTGATGAGACTTCCAAGATAAGTGAAGCGGTCGACACGCTCAACTACTTCACTCCCTATCATTAGTTCGAGTGTCGATGCAACCCAATCCTGAAGCAACATTTTGCATTTCGGTGGGGAGAATCGCATCCCGAACATGCTTGTATTGTTGCCTAGAATGGTCAGAAGACTCTGCATTTTGTCAGCGTCTTCACCAAATAGAAGTATGTCATCGATATATTCCAAGTCAACAAGTGAATCTCCTGGTAGAAGTTCAACCCCTGGAAATTTAAATGAGGAAAGTGTTATCTCCAAAAGCACGTAAACAACAGAGTTAAACAAGAATGGAGAGAGTGGACAGCCCTGACGAACACCACTTGAGGTAATCAATTCTGATGACAGTTCGCCATAAGCTCTCACTCTACCAGTTGTGTTCGAGTAGAGAGCCTTTATAAGGTTATTGTGCTTCTTTGGTACTCCTTTCAGTGACAAACACTTCCATAGAACCTCACAATCAACGGAGTCGAATGCCGCCTTAAGGTCGAGAAATACTACGACTGTGGGGCGTCTGAATGTGTGTCTGTGTTCTAGAACCTGACGTAGTGTGAATATGTGGTTATACGACCACGTCCAGGTCGAAAACCAGCCTGTTTTTCTCTAGTCTGCTCTTCATGAGCTTTAGTTAGGCGTTGATGTATTATTGAAACTAATATTCTAGACACTATATTTGTCAAACTGATTCCTCTGTGATTGTCACAAGAGGACTTTTGTCCTTTCTTATAGACTGGCACAATCAGTGATTGAGACCAGTCAGATGGGATTACGTCCAGTTCCCAAATTCTACCTAAGACTTCAGTTAATCTCACTGGTAATACTGAACCATCATCCTTAAAAATCTCAGGAGTAAACCCGTCAGGGCCTGCTGCTCTCCCTCGTTTCAGATTTCCTATGGCTTTTTCAACTTCGTAAAGGGACGGAGGACCTACATTAACTTGCCATTCAGGTTGACTGGAGATCGTGGATAACCGAAGTGTGGCTGAAGGCCAGTTGAACTGATCCCTAAAGTGTTCTGCCCATCGATCCAATCTCCTGGATTGAGAATGTATAATATGTCCATCTTTCTCTGAGATTGTTTCGCTAACGGTCGGTTTCCTAATACCGGTTTCCTTAACAAGTCTGAACAATTGTCTGCTATTACCTATTGCCGCTGCCTTTTCCATCTCTCTTGCTTTCGCTACCCACCACTGTTCACGATCATTGCTTAGACTTCTTGTCAGCTTGCGCTTAAGCAGACTCCGCTCTTCGTTATGTTCAGAGCCAGGTGGAATGATTTTCCGAGCATCTATCAGTGCGATATATGCTTCTGAAATCCAGTGTTGCTCCCTAACCTTGTGGTTTACCTCACTAGCAGATATCACTGCTGTTTCCACAGCTTTTCGGATATCATTCCATGCTGCATCGGGGTGGGCATCACATACGTGGCTGCCTAACTGTTTTTCTAGTTGTTCCTGAAATATACTCTTAGCTTGACTATCATTAAGTAGGGCCCTAAGAGGCTTCCTTGCAGCGTCTTTCTTACGTCCAGTAAGACGCAGGCAAATACTCGCTCGTACCAGAGCATGATGTGAATCTAAGCATGTGCTCCAGAATGAGCGACAGTTTTCTATCGAGCCCCTCCATCGGTGGCTGATAGCGATGTGATCTATTTGGGTCCAACGTTGGGACGAATTAGGGGGTCGCCATGTTAAAAGATGTTTTTCCTTATGCTCAAAGTTAGTATTTGCAAGAAAGAGGCGGTTATCTGAACATAGCTGCAATGGACGGTCGCCATCATCTGTTCTTTGAGCCACGACACTATAAGATCCACCCAGAAGTCTTTCCCTTAGCATTAAAGTTACCAGCCACTTTTACTACATCGGAACGCCTAGATTTTCGGAGAAGGTCGGAAAACTTTCTGCAAATCTCATCTGAGCTGCAGTCAGTGGGAGAATAGGCATAGACGACGAAGAGGCAACGACGAGTGTCCCTATCTTCCCGAGTCCTTATTGTTCCATTTAGTCGGACAGCGTACAAACGACTGTCTACTGGGATCCAGTCTAAGAGAGCTAGTTCTGAATGTGACCAAATTGGTCTCGTGTTCTGTTACAGGTATGTGGGGCGACATCACTTCCCGGCTGCCCACACCGTAGAAGGGTATTTCTTGAGGAACCTGAAAAAGAAATCGGATTAGTGTTGGTCTTGACGACCTGGGAGCGCGACCCCAGAGCCCAAGGGATAACTGCTTGATGCCGGCCATTTTGTGGGAAGTTTTTAACGTGTTAGCTCCGTTCTTCAAAGGGCCTTACCACCGGAGACGGAAATCCGTGAGGTAAGGTGGTGTGACATTTTTAAGGTCAGCCTTTTCTAACCCCTTCCTTCATCTGCAGCATCGCTGCAGATGCTGATTGTCCGAGGAAGACTTCTTACTGCTGTCACACCCCTCCACAAACAGCAGTACGACATCGCCCTCAGACCTTGAGTTGCTGCTTTTAGTCTTACCGTTCTCCAATCGACCTGCCTGGCATGGTAGGACCTACAGGAACATATGTTCCAGCCAGTATAGCTCGCTTGGGTCATCACGATAGGCAAGCCCGGCCACCGCGTCAAGGTAGCAGCTACGGTCGGGTGAATATTCCGTTCTGTTTGCGATATGTTATTTCACACATTTATTTCTACATTACTGATTTACATTTATCTAAATGCTTTGTGAATATTCGTCCAAGTTAAAGATGTTTTTCGTTTTGAGCTGAAAACCACAAAACAGTAGTCAGTTATACAGATCGTATGGTCCGCTTCAAATATGTACTGGTCTACTTTGCCAAATCCAGGAATTTTATTTCAGGTTTATAACTTATCATCAGTACTCACTTGTGATCGCGTATGGGATCCAGCTTAAAACCTTCAGGTTTTGTGGAAAAGGCAATACTTTTAGCGTACTGAGTTGAAGTTTGGTGGTTCACACTTTGAAACTCGTTCAGTTTACAATATGACTGGATCACTACCTAGTTTAATCGATAATTGTCCCTTCAAATTGATTGTTTGTTATAAATTACTTATTCAAATCAAGTATAAGTTAAATACAGTTTGTTCAGTATTTATTTTGTTACCTTCCGTATATCGTTCTTTTAAAACGCCATTCTTAGTTGCAAACTAAGTTTTCAAAAGCTTTAAGTACATTTGAGTGGTAATCATTTATATTGTACCCAAATCTAAATTATGCTAACTAAATTTAACAGTTTTGCGTTTATTTTTTCTGTGTATTATCTTCACAGATCTCATTATTTGGTTAGTTACATATGTCATCAAAGAAACCACCCAAAGCATTGTACGTTCCACCAGCTTTAAGAGCAAACAAAAATGCGAGCGAAGTCAAAAAAGAGTTATCCTTTTTAGAATCTCCAATATCATATGCTTCTGTGAATGAACAAACTGATGTAGAACAACAATTAAAATCACTTACACTTTCTGACAACTGTATTGATGATGACGAATGTGTATTCAAAAAAAAACTTTTTAATCAAAAGCTGTCACATAATGATAGCAACAGTGAACCAGTCATAAGGTTGAAAGATTTCCAACATATTTTAGAGTTATATAACTTTTCAAAAGACTTTCAAAATTTTCACTTGGAAGCGGAACTCACAGGATTTGAGGATAGTGGATTTTACCTTAAATGGGTCGATGATACTCATTGTTTAGCTGTATTTTCTTCAAATGATGAAGCAAATCGTGCATTGGCTCAAATATCAGGACTTTTCATGAAGGTATACCCTTCTTTACTAACTACATTTTTTGTATTTAAAGCTACCAATTTTTTAGGTGTTTCTTGATGAACGTTTGTTTGAGTTTATCTCTTTGTAATGAGGTTTAAGCAGCCTCAGCAGCAGTAGGTCTCAATATACACAAAGGGAAAAGCAAAATTCTCCGATACAACACGACATGCAACAGCCGAGTCACACTTGACGGAGAAGATTTGGAAGATGTAAAAACCTTTACATATTTGGGTAGCATCATCGATGAACACGGTGGATCTGATGCAGATGTGAAGGCGCGGATCGGCAAAGCAAGAGCAGCATATTTACAACTGAGGAACATCTGGAACTCAAAGCAACTGTCAACCAACACCAAGATCAGGATTTTCAATGCAAATGTCAAGACATTTCTACTGTGTGGGGCAGAAACCTGGAGAACTACGAAAGCCATCATCCAGAAAATACAGGTGTTTATTAACAATTGTCTACGCAAAATACTTCAGATCCATTGGCCGGACACTATTAGCAACAACGTACTGTGGGAGAGAACAAACCAGATCCCAGCGGAGGAAGAAATCAGGAAGAAGTGCTGGAAGTGGATAGGACACACATTGAGGAAAGCACCCAACTGCGTAACAAGACAAGCCCTCACATGGAATCCTCAAGGCCAAAGGAAAAGAGGAAGACCAAGGAATACACTACGCCGGGAAATGGAAATAGACATGAGAAAAATGAACAAGAATTGGATGAAACTAGAAAAGAAGGCCCATGACAGAGTGGGTTGGAGAATGCTGGTCAGCGGCCTATGCTCCATTGGGAGTAACAGGCATAAGTTAAAAGTAAAAAATGTGGTTTAGGTATTATAATAAAAGCTACAAAGAAATCTTGAAAATAAGTTTTCTGTTAGTTAGACTGCACATATTTTGCTAACCGATAACAGAATCATATTTTAGGATTTTTAATACTAATTATGGGTAAATAAAGTTGGTGCAATTCAACAACCAATTACAATATCATGTACTAGGTTTTTGTCATGGATTCCTTATCTCAGATAATACAATTAAGAAATCGTTCTTAAGATTCACTTATGGATTGAAGTAAACTCGGTTCACCAACTTTCAACGTGTTTCAATCAGTATCGATCTATTCAGCACAAATTTATTTTATTTTTAATACATCTTCATTTTTAGTGTAGGGGGCTTTTAGGTATTACTGAATTTTCAGTGTACATTATTGTATTCAGCGATTGCTCAATCTGATAAATCTTGTAATTAATAATAGTTAAATATTTGATGTGAAATTTACGTAAACTGGGACGTAAATTATTCTCTAGTATCTACCAAGAAAAACTTTTGTACAAGATTTCGTTTATCCATTGCAGTCTCTCTGAGGGTAATCGTTAATGTGTTATGTATTATTCGTCCGGTATAGATCCCGGTTCCTATTAGAAGACTCTCAGTTGTTCATAATTTCGAAATATGGAACTCAATCTTAATTCAAAATATCAAGTAATATGAATTTTACAAATATTTTAACAAATTAATTTCATCTTTAGGCTCGTAAAATTAATGACGCTTCTTTGGCTAGCAAGTTGAAGATTGCCCGTTCACCTGGTGACTGGACTATGCCCTATAAAAAACGACCAGTTACGACTAGCTCAACAGCTCGAAGATTAATTTCCAATCATTTGGGTATTGTTCCTACTAAAATCAAATCTCCTGAGGAAACTATGAAACAGGAACAAGATAAAGCTCTTTTACGAGAAGCACGTGGTAAATTATATAAGTGTTTTCCATATTGTTTCTTTTGTTTACTTTTCATGACACCACTAGTTTTCAGAACATTATCCAATGATGTTTTAAATTTGGTGTTACACTTTACAAGTAATCTTATATTTCTGTGTTAAACGGTCTTAGTCAATTATGGATTGGAATGCTTATTTTTGTTTTTCCGTTTAGAACTCGATTAAGATTTGTTAATTATTCAAGTAAATGTACTAAAGTTTTTATGTCGAAATCAATTATGTTAACATAGGAAGGAACCAACTTGCCCACATCAATTACCCCTTATTAATAATAAGCCCGCAAGGGAAAATGTATTGCCTAAATTCTATGCTTCCAATTAAAACTGTATGGAATGATTTTTTAGATTTTTAAATTATTCTTATTTGCCTTTAATTTTTAAGTTTTTGTATTTAAGGAAGATATCGAATGCCCATTTTCCGTCATCCTTTTTTATTATTATGTACATGTATACTTTCACTAGGATATAATTAGCTTTAGTTGAGCACTTCTAAATACATGTAGTTATAAACCTGTGTTAGTGATTGATTTATGATATACATTAAAAAGTGAGTCGGTCTTTTTAGTCACTGTTTATTTTTATTTCGAAAATCTACTTTTTATTTTCCATCAGTGTATACTTAATGGTGTATTCATGTGTTTAAATTGAGTTTTATGATGGTTTAATAGTTTTATTACATATGTAAGGCTATGATATCTTCAACAGGAAGATTGCAAAATGTTACTTAAAACTAGTCACCAATTTCTTCACGGTTTGTAGATTACCCTTGATAATCAGTCCAGAAATTGGTGAAATCTAGGTTCAAGGGTCTTATTTGTTGTTAGAAGCTAATAATTATTTAACACCGGATAACAGAAAATTATAAGGTCAATATCCATATATATCTCTTTGGTATAATCCCATACATTAGTTGTTCGATTTGAGAAGTTGAATATAACATTTGTTTTTATATTATTAACTATTTCGTCTATATTACGAAATAGAGAATGTTAATTACCAACATTTTATCGCTGGTTAGTCATTCTGATCTAATCCCACTTGGAAATCCCAGTTAGGAGTCATGTGAAGAAAGACAGCATTTGATTAATAAATATCAATCGTTCACTTATTATATAAGTATGTAAAATACTCTCCATGTAGTTTTATTAAGTAGTGAATGAAACTTTCAAATTTCAATAATCTAACAAATAATTAGCGTTATTTCTTGCACGTGATTTGCTGTTATTATTTATTGATTTTATTTTCAGTCCTTTGTCAAATGAATCAATAGTTTCATTTCTTCAAGAGTTGATCATTACACCAGTTTAACTAATTCTAGTGTTCGTGCAGATATACGTATATTCTTATCATATGTAATGATGTTTTCTAAGGTGTATTTTATTTGATAACTACTAACTTTTTTCTTCTTATATTTCAGCTCGTGCGGAAGCTATTCGTCAGGCACAGAAATCTCTATGGGAAGACGAATAATGTGACAATTACAATCATGTTTTAGAATTATTCCTGTAAAAAAGAGTGATTTTTTTGCCTTTGGAATCCTTTTTATTTATAGTGAGAAAAAATATCTTTGCATTTGACCAAAAATTCATATCATAATCATTAGTTAGTATCATGAGTAATATCTAAATTATATTTTTTCCAACACTGACTTGTTAATTTTTCATCTTTCTACTCTGTCTATCTGTTTACATGCAAACACTTTATGCCTTTTCGCTTGTGTAGTGTAAATTGAATATATCATTAATAAATCATGGAACTTTCTTCATCATGTGTATCTATTTGACATGCTTCTTGTTACTTTTGCAAATCATCTAATTCTATTTTTAATATGTTTCTTTCTTGTTCTATATATGCGTTTATTGTAATTTGTTATTTTCTGGTGTTAAGTATGCTTTTTTATTTCACTAGGCTTCGGATTGTATTTTTTCGGTTTATATTGATCTTAGAAACATAAAAAATAAGACAGGGCGTTGTCATTTTTGCTTTGAATATTTCTGCTGGTTGGAAGAGAGCTAGGGATAAGCAGTCAGTCATGCTATCTACAATGTAGGGAACAATTTCCTACAGGTTTAATTCTGAGCTATTCTCTAGACCGTCGAATACAGAGTCTTGGTTTGGCCAAAGTCAGAACAAGCAAACTATTTGGCTAGATAAACTTTATCTGTTTCGAACAGTAGCCAGAGAATAGGGAAAATGAGTCAAAAAGCAAATATCGTTTTACAATGAACATCAAACTGTGATTGGTTAATAAAGAGATACAGTAGTACAAGGTCAAAGGGAGTTAATGTGGTGGTGGCCGTTTCCCTTTATAATTGGTGAGTTCGTCTATCGATCACATTTTACATACAACGTAAGACCGGGCACATATGTGCATCGATCCAAGTTGCCATACCTCATTAGCACAACAAGATGAACACCAAATTCATAGAATTAGTTACTCCAGTAGTAGTTAAAAAAATATTTCATATAGAGATGTGATACAGGGAGAAGAAATTAGTTCGTACAAATAAAAATATAAAGTAATTCTAATCTTACGGTTTAAGGGAAGACAAAGAGTGTATACGCGTACGCCATTGTGATTGATTCTGAGCCATATCACCCAGAGTCTCCAACCATTGGTTGCAATAATCACACAGACTTCAACCAATTAGGTTGCATCTACCAACATGGCTCAGACCAGAAGTTAATGACTTCAAGGACTGATGCCACGTTTTGGTTTGGCCTCCCCTAACTTTCTTCCAACCATCTCCAACACTAGTCAGCATTTCGCGTCGTGGTAATCGGTGTTTAAGCATACGTAACACGTGGCCCAACCATCTCAGTCGGTGAAGATTCACAACCTCATTAACTGATTTACCGTCATTCCCTAACACCCTGCGTCTAACTTCAATATTACGTACCCGGTGATCCCAACAGGCGCGAGCAATATTTCTAAGACATTTGTGATCAAATACTAGTATCCTCTACTCCTAAATGGCCACGTTTCGCAGTTGTAAAGTAAAACAGAAAGGATTGCTGCCTTTTAATTGATTGACGGATATGTCACCTTCGCTATAGGTGACGTAGCTTTTCAAAAGCCAAATGAGCTTTTTGAATGCGTGCAGAGATTTCAGACACCAACCCATTACGACTGACCAGACTTCCAAGTGAAGTTGTTGACGCGTTCTACTACTTCACTTCCTATGCTTATTTCAGGCGTTGACGCAGACCACTTCTGAAGCGACTGTTTACATCTAGAAGGGGGAGAAACGCATCTCAAACATCCTGGCATTGCTGTTCAGTGCTACCAAAAGACTGCATTTCATGTGTGCATTCTAAGTCAATAAGTGGACCGCCTGGAAGGAGGTGGATTCCAGAAACTTTAATAGGTCCATGATGAAATTGAACAAAAGCGGAGATAGTAAATATTCTGTATGGGCGTTTATAGTTAAGTACGGACTGACTGAGATGAAATACTGTCAAATATTTCTATCTTCGAACATTATTATGTGATGAAATCTACCGTAACAATGAGAAGTCTATTTAAGCTACTTGGGTAAGTATTAAGTAGTACATTGACACCCCAAGTAATTATTCAAGCACGTTGAACAAATACCACTAAAAAATTATCTACTTTTTGAGTCAAACGAAAATCTATTTAGTAAACATATCAGACTTTTAGATTAACAGCATGAGTACAACTATTCATTAAGATCCAGTGCATCAGTGAAGCAACTAGTGAGACAAGACTCCGAATCCATCGTCTCCATGGATAAACGGGTAATGAACGTATTCACTGTTTCCTTGGGGTGCTAAAATAGGGCTCATGTCAGAAGTGAATGTCAAATTTCTATATCTACTTTTCAAGTTTACAAATTGAAGGTGGTAATTTTCAACATTACGAGTAGTTTTAGAATTTAGTTAATCTGTCTAAGAGTTATTTGCAATGTCTTATTGTTTGTAGTTTTCTCCATGTACATACTACTGGAAAAAAACTACCCTAAATTTACAGTGTTTGCAATTTAAGTTGTTAAATAGCTGTAGCTAAACTGCTATTCAAAACCACGATCCACCAAGCAATTGTGCTGTCCTAGTATAAAGCTCTATAGTTTTATTCCAATTAACTCCTAACAATTAAAATCATATTATCTTCACCGATCTTCTTTAATGATCATAATATCATCTCACTGACAAATACTTAAGATCAATTACTTACAGATTTCTTCCTTACCTTCAAGAATATATCATATATTATACCGTATTCATCATCTTTTTAAAACTAGTCAAATAAATATCAACTTTTTATCATTACTGTTTGAATTTAAATGTTTAAGATTATGAAGGAAATCAGATTAACAAATCACTTGAGATAATATCTTATCAACACATCCAAATAGAAAGACAGATCAAGCACATGTAAAATCACTGTAACCTTTTTTATACAAAAAAGGGTAATGCTCGTCTACAATTTGCATATAATTGCAGGAAATCATTATCATTTTTAAACAACAGATTTTAAAGAAGAATAAAAGAAAGAAATTCTTATTGCTTCAAACAGATTACCAGTTCAACGAAATTCTTTATCCATCAGGTAAACAGCACTATTATCCAAATGTAGTCGAGCACGCATTTCTCTTAGTTTACTAACAGAATTCACTTGTTCTTGTAGAAAATCGTCCAAAAAATCTTGTGTCTATGTAAATATACAAAATATTTGTAGTAATATTTAATTATTTACTTAACAACTTGTACACAGGAAATAAATCATTCTAAGCTTTGGTGAATTAATTTAACTGAGCTGGTTTATTGACATTATGCGATCAGTCATTCTTAACAATAAAGATAAGTTAACACAAGCAACGTTATTATACAACTGACTACTTAGATTTTGGTAATATTAGACAGAAATTATTTGGCCTAATCACTCCAAGGACAACATGATCAAAACTAAATAGGGATGAATATTTTTAGACTTACTATTTATGCAACTGAGTGCATAAATATTACTGAAATCTCCTTAACTTTATGATGAAAAATCTAGTCAGTATTCCTTATTTCTACCAATTCTTGAACTGGTATATGAATTAACTATCAAAATAGACCATACATTTTGTGTTTATAAATAGGTAGCAGTTTCCTCTATTACTCTCCATTTTTCAATTGATCATAAGGCTCATCTCAATGTTGTTAAGAAAAAACACCTTTGTATTTATCTTAGGCGAATGAGTAGAATAATTTTGAGTACTTCTAGTGTATTCTGACTCATCACATTCGAGTTCCATATATATATATAATGTGGTTTAGAAATGTATACTTTGAGAAAATTGTTTACAATAATGTTTAAAAAAATTATTTTGTCATGATGATGAACTTTTGTTGAATAGAGAAAAGATACACTACCTTATACATTGGTGAGAAGAAATCAAACTACATACATCTTATCATAGGATGGTTAAAATCACTCTCATTTTCAATAGGAATTTCAACAAATCCAAATATAGATCATTAAAATGATCCATAAAATGTCAACGACAACACAAATGATTTCTTTCTGTTTTAATAGATATTAAAGTTCAACTAGGGTCTAATGGTTTAAAAATCAATAAATGAAATGTATTTTCAATATCTTATATCTTTGTTTATTTAGTTTATTAAACTTAACAGGTGAAAAGTTCATGTTAAATTTATTCAGCAGCGTGCTCTAGTGTGTATTTATATCAGATTATAAGTTGTTTATGATTGACTGATTGGGAAGAGTTATTATTATACGATATTCGAATGTAAATAGACACTAAAGAATTGTAGATATTTGATAACTTTTCAAGGCGAATTCTTCTTAGTGAGTTGATTAATAGTTAGTTATTCAATTATAGACGACGTTAGTGTCTTTAATATTCCCAATGTAACATTGAAAATATGAGTTAAGCGGAGAAATACTAGTTTCTTGGTATAGCTATTCAATAATAAATAGGTTTCACAACTAAGTATTAGGTCACTTAATAAATGGCGTTTGATCAATCAATATATCTCAATATTTTCCCCAAAGACATTAAGCTGTTAGTAACTTAGCTGGTGCGAATTTAAGATGACATTACATAATCGGTTAATTCTAGCAAGTAGTTGCGTAAGATCAAAAGCAGGAATTGATTAAGTTGTGAATTAACTAGCTGAATGAAAATGTTTGGTGTTATTTGTAATAACGGTGATGAGTAATTAAAAAGACGGATGAAAAGGGAATTGGTCAGTCAGATTATGTAAACAGATTACGTTAGAAAAAAATAAGAAAAATCCAAATAAATACAATATCATTATATAAAGGAATAGCTAATCTAACTCATCAATCGGTTCATGATCTCAATCAAAAACTCAACAATCTCCACAACCACTATACTGATAACTCATTAGTTTGAAAAGATAGTACTTCAATGTATAAATCGATCTGTTCTGGTTTGAATATCAGTGAGAATTTCATCATTCACTTGGATATCCGTAAAACTCGAATAAAACTGGAAACACGGTCCGGATTCATTTTTTTTTCTACTACCGACTACTAAACTAATTTTCAATAGCCTTTTACTCATTCTTAGAATATTATCAGGATTATCAGTAGAATTTCAAAGTTTTTTTTGACTTCCTAACTCATCTAGGTAAAAAAATTGAGACTAATCAGTCTTACCTTTTTTTAATCTAATATAAATAACATTACGAATGTAAATAGTAAAGATAACTTTTATTTACCGAATTGAAACCCTATGTCAGTTATTATTGATATCAAAAAGAAGAACTCTAATAACTTGTACCTTACGTTCTCTTTCAACATCAAAACTGTTAACTTTAAGCCTGATAGAAAAGATTCCATTTTAAACTTTTCAGTTGAAATCCAGTGATCGATATATATTTGTATTTTAGAACAAAATTATCAACTTTAAATAAACAGTTGATTATTCGATGTAGAATGAATAGAATATTTATTGAGAATCTATTAGATTG